TAGGAGCGGACGGAGAGGACGTCGGGCGGGCTGTGTCCTTGCTGCTGGGGCTTAGGGACGAAACCCTGGGTGGGCAGAGGGCTGAGGCCGCTTACCGATCCGGCTCGGGCTCCTTTGTCGGTTGCTAACGACCTCTGCCGAAACTCGTCCGCGGTCGCTGGGCCTAGCTCGCCTGGCGCCCGTTGCCTGCGCTCCGAGCGCCCCCTTCCTGCCTTTGGGTCAGGTTTATCGGGTGTCGGGCTCCTCTTTAGCCGCCCCCCGTGATAATATGGAGCCTGAAGCGTTCTTGCTTCGCTGGCTTCACGACGTTGACCTTTCTGGCACGGGTCTGGGCCCCGTTCTCCGTGCGCTGAGGTGAGTAGCGCTGTATTCCTTGAGTCCGGCAAGGTAGGATCAGCTAGGCATTCCTAGTCATCCTACCAGGTAACCTCTGTGTGCTGAGGGGTCTGGTTGCAGCTTTCCAAATCAATGCAGTTGTGCTAGGAGCATTCCCTTTTAGAGCCTTCTGTGTATCTGTTTTAAGCAATCCTGCCTTGGCAGGTTCGCTAACTGCCGCCTGCTGTGTTTCCGGGTCTGCCTGTCCAGGGGTCATTCCCCAGGTTGTCAGTTTCGTGTTACTCTCTTACCTTGGATAAGGGTGTCCTGAGTATTAGTTCTGTGTCTTGAAGTGGTCTAATTCTAAATCTTCCATCCAATTCTAGTTTTTGTTGTAACTAAAAAAACTACAGTTTCAGATATGGGTGTCTTGGGGATCACTTTGAGAAATCCTTCTTGATAATCACTTTTTGTGAATTTTTTTTTTTTCATCTGTTTTGCAAGGTTGTGCAGCTATGATAATGATCTTCACTGTGCATGAAGAAAAAGTTAGTGGGGTAGAGAATAGAGGACACAGACCCCCTGCACAACACACCGTTCTCCCCAGACCCTCCATTTTGTAGTGAAGGCCCTCCCCTGTTACCTTTGACTTTGAATTGTGCTAGAACTGTTATTACCTTAGTGTGTAAGTTTAACATGTTTTGATGTGAATGGTACAGGATTAATGGAAAATCTCTTCTGTACTTGCATTTCCAACAGTAGTAAAGGTGTTCAGAAGCCCCCAAACAATGCTGGGGTTTGCACTGCTTTTTTAATGTCCTGATAGCTGAATTTGTACATTAAGCACCGAGACTTTTTTATTGAACTTTGGTGTTTAGAAACTTCTGTATGAGTAACAGAGGCCATACAATTTTAAGAGAAATTTGGTTGTGCCTGGATAGCAGTTGTCAGTTTTTGCAGTGACAGCTTTATAAGCATGTAGAATAAGCATGAACTTACTTTGTAGAAGTTAAAGCCAATATCTAGAGAACTTTTTCATAAACTGACTTTTTTTGAAGAATCTTCAGTATGTGTTTCTTCCTATCTTCTGCTTCACTGGAGGAAAATAAAATTATGATGCTCTCTTTCCAAAATGAAGCACATGAAATATTTTAAAACATTATTTAAAGTAAAAGGGGAATAAATGTAAGGATAACTTATTTATCTAATACAAATATACCCAGAAATATACATTAGATCTGGGTCTAAGTGTAGGTCACAATTCCAGTGTCAGGGTTTGTGGTTCAAAGTTAAGACGATGCATTATATTGATAAACAAGTTAGAATGAAGAGAGGAAGGATACTGCAAAAGGACAAAACTGCCAGTTCTAGCAAATACAGGATCTGCAAACGTTTGTAGAAGTTGTTTGTTTGTTTTTGCTCTATGGATGCTTAAGATGATTGCTGTATGGTGGTTGGTTTTTTTTTCCCCATGATCCTGTGTGGGATGGTGGTGGTCTGCCTATGCCTGAATACATACAGGATTTGTAATACTGTAGTTTGTAGTAATAAAAAACTGTAATAATGCAGTTTGTGGGAGATGTTGTTACTGGTGGGGGTAGGTGGGCAGGAGGAAAAGTCTGATAGTTTTATAAAGAAAACTAAATATAGGGATGTTTTAAAGAAATCCAGTAGGGAAATCAGTTTTAAACAGACTGATGTTTTGCTGTGAAAAATAATGAACTTTATGTTTGCTGATGTGATCAGTTTGTCGTGATATAACAGTAATATCAAAAAACCAGAAGGTAAGGATTTTGTATGTGTCTTAGTGTCATAATGTTGGTAGGGCAGCATCGCAGAGCTTAGGTAGCAGTGACCATTCACTTCCTAGAAACTGTTCAGAGGCCTTCCTCAGAACTGTACATGCTCTGAATTTAATCCAGCTACTGATATCCAACAGCATCTAATACAAATACATAAATATACATCATGTGGTCATTTCGGGTCTTCTTAGCTGCCAAAACTATAACTTGTTCCGGATGTGGTCATTTTATGTGGTATTTTGTATTTGGTTCAGACCCTCCGCTGTCTAAATGTAACTTAGTAAATTACGAGCGTTTGTTCTGCTACTGCCAGATATGGTGTAGAAATGGAGTAGGAATCTGTGCGTGACTGCCTCTTACGCTGATCAGTCTGGACTCCTTGCGGACCTGTTTGTGTACTTAACAATGGCCTTTGTAGTGAAACTCTGTTTTGTATAGTGTCTTCTGCGATAAGATGCTGTTGCATGACTGTAGCCCCTATGGACGTGTATATTGCTTATACGATGGCCAGAACTTACTAGTAGACTGATACCTTACCTTGTTCTGGGGTAGGTTAAACAGACTGAGGACCCTTTAGTGGGGAAGTAGGGCTTTAATAATGTACTTGGCTGGGAGTTTGTGCCGTGTGTTAAGCCTCAAGACAGATTGAAGGAACTTTACATTCTGTGAATGTGAAATTTTGAGACTCGATCTTTAAAGCCCTCCCAACATGTTTATTCCTTTACTTGCATGAGGAATATCACAGTGTTGAGTTAAGGGCTGAGAGTCAGGAAAACAAAGCTTAGTTGTAGTTTTGCCATCCTGACCGCAAAATGCAACTGATTGTACTTTATGTCAGCTAGAGAACTGCCCGCATCAGTTAAATTATGCATATACTTAAATGTTTGCAGGCACATGCACTTTGTGATAATTGCTGCCATATACTCTGTGTGGGTGTGTAACCCATCCTGACTGCAAAATGCAACTGATTTATGTCAGCTAGAGAACTGCCTGCATCAGTTAAATTATGCATATACTTAAATGTTTGCAGGCACATGCACTTTGTGATAATTGCTGCCATATACTCTGTGTGGGTGTGTAACCGAGGGTATAGGACGGTGCGTATGAACTGGGAGGCTTGTGTTCAGTTTCAGGCTCTGCCATGCAAACGTGTGTGATAGGTGCTCAACACTGCTTCGGAATTTGTTGTTTAAGCAAATCTATTCTCTCTTAGTCCAAAACAAATTTTTCAAACTTTGGTTTTTCAGAAGTGATTCTGCGATTATTTTTTAAATTATTTTTACTTTCTAGGTTAGCCTGTTTTTTAATTGTATTTTATGTGTACTGCACAATTCTATCTTTGGATGATGGCAGGTAGGCCTTAGTAGAATGGGGAAATTCTCCAGCCTAAGCTTGCAGCAGTGAACTACAAGATTGGAGTAATAAAAGTTTCAAACAGACCGTTAAAAGTCATTTTTGTATCTGTTGAACTGGAAAGCGGACCTGATAAATTTCCGTGGTCCTGGGCATTGCTTAAAAGGGAAGTATTGTGGCTTTTTTTGAGTTGATTATTTGTACTAATATTGACAACTTCACTCTTGTGAATACACAAGTATTTTGATTTCAATTTATGATGCAGTCAGTTGAGAGTAGATGAACTCATCTTGCAGTTTTTTGACACTGGGAGGGAGGGCTCCTGCCTTGAATTTCACTCACCGGGGCTCTCTTTACTCGGGTGCTTATCTGACATCCTGGTAAGCTCCTTCAATTTGCAGTGTTGGCAGAAGACTTTTTTTCTTCTTTTTACCAGTTTTCTGCCAGGTTGTCAGTTTAACTGAATTAATTGACATGAGGGCTAGAACTGTGCAGCCAAGAAGGGAAGAAGTACCAGTGAATGTGTCCATTCTGTGGCAACAAGCCATTAAATCAGCTCAGTCTGACAGCACCTTCAGAAAAGGTCATCCTCTTTTGGAGATGGAGTACCTGTATGAATTAATATAAGCACAATTGCTAATTTACATCCAAAGAGGAATATCGTTATCTTTTCTATTACCAAAATCTTCCTATGTAGACTTTCACAAAAATAATTTTTTTTTTCCTCAGTTTAATTATAAAACAAGTTGTTTTACAGACTGATCTTAATTCTTGTTGACATTGATCAAACATTCGTGGCTTAAAGTAATGCGAAGTTGACAGTACTGTGTTGGTATTCTAGGAAGGGAATTGGAAGAGGTTAAAACTCCTGTTGTGCATTAAGATGTTACTAAAGTGAACTCTTCAGAGCAGACAGGGTTGTTGCTCATGTAACCTGGTTGATGATAGCACCTTGTGACATAGGGGTGAAAGTATGCATCTTGGTAGATAATTTTTTGGAATCAGATGGTTCACTGTTATTTGTACACAGGGCTTAGAAATTAGTGCTTATAGGGCACCTTCTTTACGGAGGAGTAGTAATTGAAATTCAAGAAAATTTGACTTGGATCAAATTGATACACTCTTTGGGGACAGCTGGGGGAAAACCTATTGCTTCTTTTAAAAAAGTGCACTTTTGAAAAAGTGCATTTATGAAAAATAAATACCTATTCCCCTATTTTACTGTCTCCTGGTTATTTCCAAATACACTGCATTCTCTTGAATAGCATTTAGAACACCTTAGCCACACCATTGCCTTTTGCTGAGCTTGCGTGTTTCTGATTACATTTTACGTGAAACTGCCCGATTTCCAGTTGCCTTTAAAGGGTGCGTATACCTTGTATTTGGTGATTATAAGCCTTTGATTGCGGGAACAGCTGTTTAGTCTTGCCAGGGAGGCAATAATCTGTATAGGATGCATAACGGACTGCTACGGAGCCCTTTTTTACTGTTTATTTTTTCATGACAAGCCTCTCATAATTGTACATACCCACCTTATTTGGGAACACGCTTAAAAATCGCTCCCACAGGAAATTTTAATCTTGCTGTCTTACATAGGAATGTGATGTAGCTCTGCCACAGTCTTCAGCTTCTTTCATTTTTTGATGAAAAATATATGAAACTTTTGGTTGAAAATTTGCAAGTGTGAAGCAAGCCCTTAAGATATTCTCTTGTGTCTGTTACAGGTAGATCACTACCTTTTTTTTTTAAAATACTGTTGCTTTTAAACGTGAAATGGCAATGAAGCCTCGTGCTTGAATGATAGCAGTGGTAGAGGGAAAATCCGTGTAGTTCGGAAGCACGTCCATTTCTAAGCCATCAGTGCAGTGGAGAAGGCTTCTCTTCAAGCATATATTTTATAAGATGCAGGACTATTATTTTATTTCATGGAACAGTCTGTGCAGTATTTACTGCACTTTTCACAAATGGCTACTGTGATTGAGGGAGCCTCAGGAGTGAGTAAAGTCAATGTAACATGACAGGTCTTTGCATCCTCTAGTGCATTCTCTTAGTGACTAGAATAGGTAAAATTCTGTCTTACCGTTGATAAAACATCAGGAAATCATGTGCATAGTTTAATGTTAAAAATGTTTTACAGGCCAGAGGTTGAGAATGGGCATAGTAGTTCTAGGAGAAGCATTTCCTCATTGGTTAGCAACAGTAAGTTAATGTTAGCACTTCCATGCTTCCTTTCACATAGTGAAATTGTCCAGTGTTCTCATTTTTCTGTGTATAAGCATGTGTAATGTTAGGAGGAATGTTTTTTTTTTTTTGAAGTATATGATAGGTATGTATGAGAACTCTGGGAAGTTCTGTATTTCTTTGCTGTGTAACTTCTGTGAATTAGTGTTTATAAAATTAAAATGTAGTCAGCCATTGAAACTGCCCAAATTTAATGTTGCTGTAGCTGGAACAACGGCAAAAAAGCCCCAAACATTAGTGTGTATGCTAGTATCTAACTACTTTTGTGTTTTATTTCAGTGTGCAACTGTGTCGCGCTCTCAGTGACAGCAAAAGCCATGATAGTATGGGTTTCAGAGGTAAGTTGTGTTTCTTAATTGTTTTTATTTGGGGGAAAATAAAAAAAGCTTGGAAACGTTTGATCATGGTACCTCAGCATGTATCTGCCTGGAACATATGGTAACCATTAATGGGTGCTAAAGGTGAATACCACAAATAGTAAGGCAATACAAACATTCACAATTAGGTTTGTCTTCAGATGTCCAGGTGAGAGATTTCTTAGATATTAGTAAGTGGTGGGAGGATTGTCCTGATTTGGTCTGTGAGGTAGAAAATGGAATTCCGTTTTACTAACTTAATGTATAACAAGCTTTTATGCTAAAGGTTACATATATGAACACTAACGTATGCAAGTGTGATTGCATATTGCAGAAAGTAATTTTCACAACAGCACCTGAGTTAGACTTTTTGTCCATTGTTAGTCAAAGACTCTGTCTTTAAGTTTTAAATTCTCACTTTAAGAAATATTTGCTGCTTAAAGAAAAGTTAAATTTTTGTTTGCTTTGCAGAATCTGTTGGAAGAAAAACTTCCATATTACTGAGACCTGTACTATGCTATTTAAATTGGTTTGTGGGTTCTTGTTAAAATAGTCATAATGGGCAATTGTAATAGCAGGAAACATAAACCAAAGCATTTCAATGTAAGTTATAAGTAGTATTGTTAAGTAAGAAGAAATTACTGTTCCACAAAGCAAAATCACTATTCCCCAAATTTTTGATGAAAGGCCACCAGGTGTTCTCTGTTCTAGACAGAGGTTGACAATTTCTATATGCTGTTTTCTTGTTCTTCGTCCTTCCTGTCACAATCTAAAAGATCCAGAGGGATCGATACATGCATGCAGTGGCTATATTGGAGACATTAATAGCCAGTAGAAATAGTTAAAGCCCTTCTGGTGATGGAAAAACCCTGAAAATACACATAGTCTGGAGTGAGGTACAGAGATGCTGACTGCTGAGAATTTGTTTGAGTCCATGTGACTTGGATGTAGTTCTGAAATGTGTGCTGGCACTTGCATTTCTGCCTTTCAATTCCAGAAAGTCATTTATCAAATTGGAAGTACTGAAGAAGTAGTACTGAAATGCTGGAATTTTAAAAATATTTATTTGTGTATATCTATGTATAATATGCTATTTATGTGACTTGTAAGTTAAAGGTGTCTTTGTTAAACCAACTGCCAAGACTCAGTAACATGCCGGATTGTAGTTTTTAGTCCCAATTCACTGTTACTCCATAAACTAGGGAACATGGATCATTTCTTACTATCAGCTTGTGTGAAGTCTCAGATATTGGTGTTAAAACTTAAGCTATCAGTAATAAAGTAATCCCCCTTACTGGTAAGAGTAGTGTAACCTCTTCACTTGCAGGGTGTCTGAAGTCTACAGCATTATTGTAAATATTGCTTTAAAAATTAGGCCAAGGATTACCTATTATGATCCTTAATAATCTGTTTTCTTCCAGCAGATATCCAGCAGGCTTTGTACGAGCTTGCATACCATGTTGTCAGAGGAAACTTAAAGCATGATCAAGCTTCTAATGTGCTTGGTGATGTCATAGTAAGTATATATTTGTAATAATTGCATACCTACTAAATTTCTGTAGTTTGTTATAAAAGACCCAGTGAAAATCAAGCAGGATAATATTCAACAGACTGTTTTTTCTATGGCTAAGAAGCTGTCCTTGTTATTGCTTTGTGTGCACTTAAAATACAAGTAGTGTGTCAGAGTTTCATTTTTTCCTCTACTTTTTGTGATGAGGAATAGATACATTCATATATTAAAACTTCAATCATTTTTTAAGTGCATATGAAGACTGAAGTTTTCAATAAATGATTAAAGATAGATTTCACTTGCTTATGTAGTATGTCTATAATGCCACCTACTGGTTTTTACATTTTACATCTTTCTTACAGTGTACAATGTGCGTGTCTGCCATTTTACTGTTGAGATGTCTACGTCCCATGGCTGCCTTGAAAATAATGCATTAGATGTGCATTTTCTTAGGAAAAGATTTTTTTCTCAAAATGCTTTGAATAAATAAAGTATGGAGAAGAGTGTTTTCCTCTAAGCTAAGGTTGCCAAATGTTGGTGTTCCAAAAAAAAAAAAAAAAACCCAAAACCCCACCACCAAACCTGGGGAAGAAAGTATTTAAAAATATTCTAAACATTATTTCTTTGTAAGTTCTTAGATTGCTGTTTTGACATGTACAGAACATTAAGAAAAAACATACATTGCAGTAATATATACTAGGACAACATTTTTGATTTTCAATTTTCTGCGCTGGGTTTGAGAGGAATCAAGGCTGAAGTGCACTTTGCTGTTGGGGTAGCATGTGGTAATGTTTGATCTTTAGTCACTCGAGAAAATTGTATTTTTTGCTGCTTGAGAAAGTATGGTTTACTGTAAAGGGTGGTGCTGCTCTTTAGACAGGGCATTCTATTGTGCTAGAGAAATGGAGGTAGTAACCAGAGGGTTTTGCCCCTGGGCACTAGATAGGCTTTTAAATTATATCAACATGTTATTTCATTACAAATTAATAATTAGTACAGTACTCATGTTAGATATTATTCAATAATTGAGCCTTTTCATTATTAATTAATCTGAATTTATGATTAACTCCTGTTTTAGGTAATGGATTAAGAATTTTCTAAGTGTACACATTGGAATTTCTGTATTCACCAAGTGTGATCTTTTTCCTTTGTAGGAATTTCGGGAAGACATGCCTTCCATCCTAGCTGATGTCTTCTGCATATTAGGTGAGTTGGATTCCCTGCCTTTCAGTGTTGTGACAGGCTTGGAGAAATACGTGCTTTATGTGTCTGCTTGTTGACTTCTTCAGGAAAGTTCATTAAATCTGTACACCATGACCTCTGTTTACAAAATGGGTTGATTTTTCCTCAGTTTATCTGTATCTCAATTGTTAATGTCTTTTCATTCTGCTTTCTTTTGTTATAGTTTCCAGAAGTTTACCTATTAAAGGCAGTGGAAATTGATCTGCCAGAAATAGTTTAAGGAGCTGGCTTGTAAGAATGTTGGATGTTGGTTAATGGTATCAGTGACTTACACCAGGCAGTGTTACCATTCTTATGAGTATTTAAAATAAAAGTTGACCTACTGGTTGGTAGATCCTCTCTTCTCAGAACACATTCTATTTTTATCTGTACACTCATTGTTGTTGAAAAGGAGCTTGGACTAATCATCCAGAAATCTAAAGGCAAATGGTATTATTTGCCAAGTTACTGTCTGCCAACTGAGGAGGTTTTAAAGATGTGTACTTCTTAATCTGATAATAAATTCTAGATTTTTATGTTACAATGTTGATCTAAAACTTTCTCTCATGTTTTTAGCACTTAAATTCTGTAGACTTTTTTCCAGATCATAGCTTTAACTGCTTGCAGTTTCTGTCTTGTTCTAAGCTTCTCTTTTTTTTCCACAAATTTCAGCAAATTCATTTGACAGTCAGTTCATCGCAGATCCTGGTTTACTCTGTGTGCTGAAGGGGTTTGGAGTCTTACGTGCTGTCGCTGCCTGTGCAGGGGCACCTAATTAAGTTTTCATATGCAGCCTCAGTTCTATAACATCTAGATGATGAATTTTGACTTTGTTTTGTTTGTAGTGTTTCATTGTGTACTTGTCATCCTTTTGTAATAATCAGTTTTTACAATGCAGTATCACACTGATGCCCTCTTGTTTTTAAGCTGGGCTGGAAAACTTAGATTAGTTGGTTCTTACACTAGTTTGTTATTCAAGTAGTTGATTTTTTTTTTTTCTTCTTCTCTTCAAGTCACTATGTAGCCAAATGCCATGCCTCCACTAGTAGCAGGGAAAGCGTATGGCTAAGGAGCTAGGTTTCCAACTCTGACACAAAGGACATTTGACAACTTCCTGCTTGTGTTTAATGCATCTCCTCTAACACTTTTTCCCTCTAACCAGTATTTGCTGCTATCAGAATTTTTTTCCCTAGTGTCGTCATCTTACAGTTAATGAGTTTCAGTAGGTGGGAATTTGGATTTGTTTTACTTTATCCACTCACCCACATTTCCTGGACAGACTTTTTTCTGCAGATGATTCTTTGGCTGGGAGGCTTGGCTGTTAGGGCCCAGGCTGATCTGGCAAGTCTGTTGCCTTCACTGCCACCCTGCTTACAAGATTGGTTTTCAGTCTGCTTGCGGGCTTCTTTCTTAGACTTCTGTTGTTTTCTGGGGGTGTGTGTCAGGTGTTTTTGTAGTTTTTTGTAATGTCTGCCTTGCATTCTTTCATTGAGTGTTCTGCTCCTTTTGCAGCTCCTCACTTCCTGTAATGATGTGCTTTTCTAAACTACTTCAGGCAGGTGTGCTTCCGTGCCTATTGTTTTGTGGGCTGTCTTCCCACAGGAGTGAATTTATGAATTGCATTCAGTGTTCGACAATGCAAAGGAAAAGAATGAAAATACTGAATCATAGCTAGTAGAAGGCTGCAGACCAGGCAGTAAATGGCGGTTACTCTGGAGACACAGGGAAAAACAAGGCTCGGATCTCACAGTTCTGTCCAGCAATTTGTATTTTATTCCTTTCATGCTTATTGATTCTCAACCCTTGCTGTAAACCTTATTGCAACAGAGAGAAGGGCAAGAAAAACTATTCTGGCATTCCTCTGGTTTCTGTTTTAACTTTTCATGAGGTTTGTGGATGTGTGAGGATTGTCATCGGAATATTATGTGACCTCAGGGTGGATGCATAGCTGGGAAGAGGCAAGAAGCTAGCATGTTAAAAACAAGCTGCTTTGTGTTCTGTTATCACTAGCATTTAACAGAATAGTTATAAAAAGATGAAACTTCTGTGAATTCCACAAGTAATGACTTTTCCTTTTTTCCATTTTATTTTATACTAGATATTGAAACAAGTTGTTTAGAAGAAAAAAATAAGAGGGATCATTTTACCCAACTGGTATTAGCCTGTTTGGTAAGTCTTTTTAACAAAAGCACATGCCAAAATCTGACAAAAAACCCCAGAGTTTTAAAGCTTGTATCTAAAATCTACCACTTTAAAATTCCAGTTTCAGTTGAATAGTTTCTCAGTTTTCTCCACTACTGTGCTTGCAGCAGAATGCATTTAGTATCATGGTATATCATGATATTTTAACTCTTTTTTTTTTGTAGTTAGATCATATATGTAGCCTAAAGTAATCATCAGATGTTTTTCTAGCTCTGTAACTGACAAAATTGATGTGCGTTTTTTTGGTGTTTTTCAGTATCTTGTATCTGACACTGTCCTAAAGGAGCGTTTAGATCCAGAGACACTGGAGTCATTAGGACTTATCAAGCAGTCTCAACAGTTCAATCAGAAATCTGTTAAAATAAAGACAAAACTATTGTAAGTTTTGGGGCAAGGGTTGTTTGGGGAGGGGCAATGGCAGCCTGGTAACAGTGTATTCTAACAATCTGCAATGTTGCTTTTAATAAAACACTAATTTTCCTTTAGGAAATGTGTTTTGTTGCACTTTAACTTGTCATTGACAAAAGACCCTTGTTAGCTGACCTAATTTTCAAACTCTTGAGCAATGTAAAATCTTTTTTAATGATACCTATTGCTATGGTGATTCCACATGTGCAGATTAAATAGTTAATTTTATTTGTGACAAATGTGAACTTACAAAGCATACAAACTAATTTTTCTGTTGCATCCATTCACGTATAGGCATTTTTTGTTTAAGTAAATGCAGTTACGCTAGTTTGGGCAGCACAGGATATGTTTTTGTGTCTGTATCCAATGTTTTCCATCTTATTCTCAAAAGAACACCATTTGAAACTACAGTAGGTCCTTAAGCACGGATTGTTACAGAGCAATTCTCCAGCATGGTGTGCAAGGAGAAGATTCACTGTTCAGTATAAGCATAATCTTGCTTTGAATGGTTGGCATTTGAAATAGGAGCTGGATTTTGGTTTTTTGGAGTTGACCTGCTACCTTATATAGAATGCAATACAATGAATATCTGCTTTTTGCAGTAGCTCAAGTAAATTACAAGTTCTTAAAAATGTGTTCAAAATTGATATTTTGTATAATAAATCTCATATTGATACGAGCATAATTAAGCTTCACTGTGGATGTGTGTTACACAGGAGTGTTTAATTTCTGTTTATTTGCAGTTATAAGCAACAGAAGTTTAATTTGTTAAGAGAGGAGAATGAAGGTTACGCAAAGCTCATTGCGGAACTTGGGCAAGACTTGTCTGGAAATATCACTAGTGATTTAATCCTTGAAAATATCAAATCTTTAATAGGTAAGGAATTTGCTAAAGGAATATGGGCACTGTTTTTTCTGCATGGTCTTATGATTACAGAGGGTGCTTACTGCTTGAGATCATCTGGATGAAATATGTCATGAAGGCATGTAGCACAATAATAACATGTACATCACTTTGGGTAGAATTATGACATTTGGAAGTGCCTGTTAGTGTGGCAAAATCAATTTCATAAATGTTGTGCTGTTAACCTTAAGTTAGATACTGAATTTATGGCACAGCTTCAAATACGTGTGCTGTGACTTATTTCAGCAGTATTTTTTGAGGACGCACTTGTCATCTCTTGGCAGGCAGACTGGAGCGTAACAAAGTAATGATTTTTGCTATTTTAAGGTAATCGATTCAATGTATGAATGTTCTTTTAGTCTTAAAGTTGGAGAAGTGATATCTTAAGAGAAATGAGAAGTAGTAAATGTTCTTCCTTTACCTAGTTCCGTTTGCTTTGTTCATATTTCTAAATTGGGTCTTGGCGAGAGTGTCACAATCAAAGTGCAAAATACATTAAAGCCAGGAAATACCTGTAATTCCCCGTGTTTTACACTTCCTTTTTGAATGAAGAGTTTTATACAACATATTGATGTTTGCACCGGTGCCTGTTACGTATGGTGCCCGTGCAGTAACAGTCAAAACGCTCATCTTTAATCTGTCGCAGGATTTTGCCTGAGACTGTCAAACCCCTGTAATACTACTTGTTTTGGAAGAGAGCTAGAGAAGAGGATGTTTTCTTGCTCAGATTTTTTTGTTAGTTATTACAGTAAGAAATGCACACTCAGTTTGAGGAATTTTATAAAAAACTGGTTTTGTCTTCTGGAATTTTAGGAATTAGTATAAATTGTCAGTTCTCCTGAAGTACTGACTTGCAGTATGTCCTGGTGTAATGGAAGTGGCTCTTGGGAAGGAGGGACTGATGCAATTACCTATCTGCATAGTGAATGTGCCTGGATAAAACTTCTCATGGCACGATGAAGAAAATAGTCTAGATGGGGATTCTTTTGATGCAAGTAATATATTGGTGTCAAGCAGTCTCCTGGAGTTTTGATGGAGAAATTAATATAGTAAAATATAGGTATGATTACATCATGACCATAAGCTGAGCTATACCCTTGCTCTTGCTTCCCTTAAAGTAAACAAACTGTTCTCCCTAATGATAACATGGAATTGGCTGGACAGTACAACCAGGTGGGTCAGAGTCTAGCTCAAACAGAACAATTTTTGGGGTGTAAAATAATTTCTAGCTGGCTGATTTGTGTGACTGCATGAATGTGTTCCAGCTCAAGGCGAGAGGAAGCAGCCCATGCCTTTTGCTGGCACAGTAGTATCAACGAGGTTGGGTTTTTACTTATTAAACATTCGCTTTCAGGTGGTAATTTCTATTCTTTCTGTAATCCGAATTGAAAATTCTGTTTGGTATCTTTGCCTAGTGCAATATTCGATGTAAGTCAGAATGGTTGCTTTAGTATTTACAGGTGATCCAGTTTATCTTGATGTAAATAAATCGAGGCTCAATTCTAACTGAATTCACTTTAAAAACTGATGCACCTGTGGTTTAGTGTCAGAATGAAGATGAAAAGTAGTAATGTTAAGCTTTTGTACTCTGTTCTTCTCCACTAGGATGTTTTAACCTTGATCCTAACAGAGTTTTGGACATTATCCTGGAAGTCTATGAGTGCAGGCCTGAATATGATGACTTCTTTGTACCACTGATAGAGTCTTACATGTATATGTGTGAACCTCAAACTCTATGTCATATCCTTGGGTTCAAATTCAAATTTTATCAGGTAATGTATTTCCATTCTTAATTTTTGTCTTTGGTAGTTGGTTGTACTCAGTGTTCAAGATTTTTGCTGCAAGTTTTTAATTTCTAAGTTGTAAAATTCCAGTATTATGAGCAATAATTTCATTATATACTTCCACTCAAATCATGTGTTTTAGAGCAGAATGCTTAGCATTCTCCAAAGCAGACAGCTGAAGGCAGTGCTGATACTTTTCTTTTGGGCTTGTACAGAGAGATTGCACCTAATAAATGAAAGACATGCCCCCAGGAGTGAAGAGCATGTTGGCAAGGGAGTCATGGTTGATGTTTAAAATATTCAAGGTGTTTTTAAGTGCTTGGTTAGGAAATGCATACAAACACCATAAGGTGTGAAGATAGTTGATTGTTCTTTGTTTCTGAAAATCCTGGTTGTGCATTGCAGTTAACTCTAGTGGCTTTGGAGTAATAGCAGTTAAATAAGGTGATAGCAAGGGGAACTTTGAGTTACTATGTTTCATCTGAGCTTTGAGTAGTTTTCATGACCTTCTCTTACTTTTTTCCTTATGCATTGTTGTCCTTTTTAGGATCCAAGTGGTGAGACACCTTCCTCCTTATACAGAGTTGCTGCTGTCCTTCTGCAACATAATCTCATAGATTTGGAAGATCTTTATGTTCATGTAAGTTCTACTCTACCAAATGCTAAAACTAAGGGGGGGAAAAAAAACCCAAAAAACCCACACACCCACAAAAAACCAAAACACCAAAAAAAAACACTCAGACATTTTACACTATTCCTAAAGCTTCCGACGTTTAATTTTTTTTTTTTTTTAATTTCCAGGACTTTCTAATGCCACTTATTTCAGTGTGTGTTTATTTGAATATGAATGCTGATACACTCTCTTTTGAATTATCTATGTAGTATCCTCCAGATTGTTTATCTCATGCCTGAATAGGAGGTGGGAGGTAAATGCTTGAGTAACCTTCCTTAAGAACTGGGTCCTTTGAGTGTTTTGCTTTACAAGATCAATTGGGGGGGAGAAGAAAAAAAAAAAAGGTGGTAGGACAATCAGCTCCCAACATTCTTTTAGGTTAATAGTAGTTTGGTTTTTTTTTTAACTCTTACATATTCCTGAATAGATGCCTCATTCCATCTACAAGAATTCTGACCACTTGTGAGGTTGAAAGAGGAAAATGGAGTTACATGTTCAGATTTAGATACTGACACTCTCCAGTCTGACAGTCTTAACCAACCAACATACCAATTTGGCAGATTGTGGAAGTTATCAACATAACTTTACATTATATACCAATTATTAATTTCAGAATAACCACAGTTATTTTAAGACTTGACTCTTCCACTGAAATCAAGGAAATTAGCTTAGTTACAGGTATGGAAACTGGAATGTAGTCTTGCCATTAATTCATATGGCATTAGTCACAATTCATAACATTGGTCACAATCTGACTTGTCAGTAACTGTCTTCGTAGGAGCATTTTGGCTAAAACTGTGGGTGGAGCAAGAGTAGGTGTGCATGTCTCACATGATCTCTGTGGAGGGAGGAATGCATGATAGTGATGCTAGTTTAAAGAATGTTTGTAAGCTTACAAACCAAATGTCTCAGACTTGGAATTACAGTGGCTTGTGCAGTCTCAGCTCAGACCTGTGCAGGTATTGGCATGTTTTCTGACAGTCTCAGAGCTAGAATGGTCCCTGCATTCATGTATACTGTTCACCTTCATCATGTCGATTCTCAGTCTCACTTTTAATCTGTTTTAATTCCAGAATCTCTCTGCCAGTCTCTTCTCTTTGCATGCTTGGGATGGCATTTTTCTTTTTTTCAGGCTTAATTTAACTTGCTATGGGAGTTTCAAGAAAATAACAGGGTGTAGGTGTTGAGTCTTAAATGATATATATTGTGCAGCTCCTATACAATAGCAGCTGTCAGGATTATCATTCTTATCAAGAATGTTTTCTGTTCCCCCCAGCCCTCCCTTCCCCTTCCAAGCCAGTAAGAACTGTTTTCTGTTTGTGTGCATATATACATGCAGCCATATATAATGCGTATTGCATCCTGAAGATTTACCCCTTGAAACTCCACACTAGATATTTCCTGGTGAACTGTAGTAGGTTACTTGTGTTTTCAAATGAGGAAAGTGTAGTTCTTTAAACCTTTTACCATTCCAAGTGGAATTCTTCCCCAAATATCTATGAAATCCTGGAATACTCTTATCTCCGAAGAAGGTGATGCTTAGTCTTTCCTCCTTCAGCTGTCAGAAAAAAAGTAAAACAGTAAAATTCTTCCATTGTTAAAAAAAATGGAAGTAAAAGGTTACTGTGTCAAAGAGGTTGTGACTCTACAGTAAATTTTGATTACTTGCAGTTAAAAGTTTGATCATAATTTTAGGAATTAAATTGAATTAAATTGCTTTGTCAGAAAAAGAGGTTTTTCTTCTGTCTCACAGGTTAACCCTACACACAGAATTTAAAGGTCATCTTCCTCACTGCTCATTAAGTACAAGACCACGTTGAGGTTTTATCATACTCTGTGTATCTCAATGTTAATCTTTTTTAAGGAATTAATGTTACATGTGTTTAACTGTTGTGGCTTAATCACATGCGGATGTGTTCAGTGTGGATGATGGTAGCAAGGAAAAGAACCTTCAGGGAGTAAGTTTATCTGATTAGGAACAAGGAAGGACAAACTACTTCTTCCTCAAGTGATAAAAAGTAGCAGTAGGTCACTGTAATTTTCACATATAATGTTTATTCTGTTTGTGGTTGTTTTTTTTTGTTTGTTTTCCAGCTTCTTCCAGGGGATAATGCCATCATTGAGGAACACAAGCGAGAGATAGTGGAAGCCAAACAAATTGTCAGAAAACTTACAATGGTTGTCTTATCCTCTGAAAAAACTGAGGAAAAGGAGAAGGAAAAAGAAAAAGAGGAGGAAAAAACTGAAAAGGTGCGCGTTTATGGTTTCCTATCCAAGAAAATTATTCTAAATTATTTTAAACTAAACATAATAAATGTTACAAATACATTTTTATATTTATTTGAAACACTGACGGGTATGTACTTGTTGGAAGACTTGTGTACGTCCTCTGATTGCACTGCTGTTATACTGAATGTGCTAAAATGCATGGCTTGGGGTTTGTTCTGGATTTCTCTACATTTAATGTTCTTGGTTCAATGACTAATTTCCTCCCTTTTTATTGTATCAGCTCCGCTGAGTATGTCCCAGCGGTCATATACTTCACAATCTTTAACAACTGTGTTTTCTAAGATCTGTGATAGTAGAATTTCTTAAAAACAAGGACATGAGTAAGAATTTATCCCTTACCTCTCTCAATCAAGAAGTGGGACGTGAAGAATTGCCAGACTTTACAAATGCTGGTATAATTATCCTTCATTGTAGAAAAAGGTTTTAACTGAACACTTCTAATTGCAACTGTCTGCTGTGCTTTCCGTTAGATCTGTGTCTTTGTATGTGTAAATGTATACTTCTCATGCGAGGTGCTACTACATCACGTATTGTTCATGTTACCCTGGGTGTCTAGTTTGTTTCAGTGTGTCCACACCTTGCTTTCAAAACAAGTGTGTTTAATCTCTTAGCAGCCTTGGTTATCTTCATTTAAGTGTCTCAGTACTGCTCTAACATCTTACTTAAAAGAAAAAAAGTAAAATGAAAGCTTGGTATTTGTGTATTGTAAGTGGTGTGCTGGAGAGGGGGAAGAGGTCCATCGGTCTTGCCAGCTTCTGTTCTTAATTTTCTGTATCCTCCTGGATTCATTATTCCTGTCTATTTTGTCTACTTATTCCTTCTACCCCGCCTTGATTCTCTACATCTCTGCTCTTCCTTCCTCTATCCATTTTTCCTGCCTAGCCTGAAAAATCTCATTTAATTTTCTTCGCTCAGGCAGCTGATATAGTCGCTGCTCTCTGCCTCTGAACTGCAGCCACATCTGCCACTTAAAGTGATTCCTTTCTCTAGGTTTAAGTTTCTGACCTCCTTCCCACTTCTTATTTCAATGTCTTTTTTTTGATTATACCACATTGTTTTGGTCCACCCTGTCCCCAGTCAGGTGAGGCTGCCTGTTATTCTCTGCATGTCACCGTGTTCTGGTGGAAAACTAAACTCTGGGACAAGGGGAGTGTTTGAAGGTGTGGTTGTCGTGTTGGTATGGTTTTTTCTTTTAAAATAATCAAATTTTGCAAAAGAACTCCAGAATAACACACAAAACAAAAGACTAAATGCTTGTGGTGTTCTTCAAATGTCATGTGGAGAAATACGCTGCAATAGATTGACATGTTGAAGAGTATGTGATCAGATGCCTGTCAGACAGCTTGAAACACTTTTGTTTGGAACTTTTTAAACTTTTTTCTTTGATCCAGATGTTAGATTCTATGTGGACTGGTTTATTATTGCTTTGGAAGTGTGCTTATTGTCTAAATGAATTCTTTTACCTATTTTCTATTACACAGTTGAAATACCAGGTGTATTTCTCCAGCTGAGGATTACAGCTTATTACTGCCTAAGGAGAAATATGAAGACTTTATGAATACACTTTTTCATTAATTGTTTGTTATCTTGCAGCCTCCTGATAATCAAAAGCTTGGTTTACTGGAAGCTTTATTAAAAATTGGGGATTGGCAGCATGCGCAAAGTATCATGGATCAGATGCCTCCTTTTTATGCTACTTCACACAAGCCTATTGCCGTTGCCCTTTGCCAGCTTGTACATGTGACAATTGAACCCCTCTACCGCAGGTAAAGTGAAAAGTAGGGTTCTGTTGCTACGTAGAGGAAAACTACTATTTATTTATAAGCAGGAATTCACTAATAAGCCTAACTGTATTGGTACCTTCCTGAATTTTCACTTCTGTTTCATGTGAAATGCTGCACATCTTATTTTTCAGAGTTGGTGTACCTAAAGGAGCTAAAGGGTCACCCATTTCTTCTTTGCCAAACAAAAGAGCACCAAAACAAGCAGACAGCTTTGAGGACTTGAGAAAGGAAGTGTTCAACATGCTTTGTTACCTTGGTCCTCATCTCTCCCACGATCCCATTTTATTTGCAAAAGTGGTGCGCCTTGGAAAAGCATTTATGAAAGAGGTTAGTATGACAGAACAGCCTGTCAGAACTTGAAAAAATACCAATTCTTCTGATGTCAAAAAAAATGCAGGTCTTACTAATTGCGTATGTAATTAAGTACAAGTTTGGAGAATCTTAATTATTGGTATTTTTTACGATCAGTAAATATAATATTTTTCTGAACAACTTAAGGAGCTTTAGGGTTTTAAATAGGAATATTTGGTGATAACTAATTTCTCATGGTCTTCATCTTTTAAAACATTGCATGTTAAAAAACCAAACCCCAAGCCAGGCATACGATACCGATTGCATGGAAGCTTTTACAGTATTAGAATGACGGTGTAGACTATGGGAATCAATAACCTAATACATATCCAGTACATAAAATAATGTTTTCTATTCCACCTGTCAGGTTACTTGGGTTACTTAGGTTACTTGCATATTTTTAATTACTGCTGTGTGCTCTTGTTATGCCAGTTAAAATGTTGCTATTCCTGAACTTGTCAGTGACAAATCTCTGGATGCCACTAAGGATCAGTTCAGTGTGGAGATACAGGACACCCTACAAAGCCTCAAGTAGCCAACTTTATTTCTAAAGCGGCCTCTTGAGCTTTGTTGTTGTCCTTTGACTGTCTTTTTACCACGCACGCATTGAAAGGTTGGTAGTGTGACCTGTTTTAAAAGGCTGCAAGTTGAATTTATAAAATGAACTCCCTTGGAATGTCCTCAGTAGCACAGACTGATTTCTTTGCTGCTTTTCTGGCAGTTTGCTATTTGACTAGCAGTCCTTGTTTTATTTTCTAGTCAACAGTAGAGGGTTTTGAAATAACTATTAATTTTTAAAAATTATTTCAAAAACTATGAATTCCGGAGTTTCTCTGAGCTGCTATTAAAAAGAAACACCCCCTCCACCTCCCAACTTCAATCACTTTTTTTATCTATTTTTTTTTTTAACTTCTAAGTTGCAGAGCTTTGTTGATCTAAATGGTAGAGTTTTTCCAGTTTTATAATGCTTTAGGTGCTTTTATTTCAACTACAGCTAACATGTATTGGAATGTTCAAAACTTAACATGTGAGAGGAGGCTTCCATGTCCAGGCTGTCCTTGGTGATGCTAAGAACACAGATAATTCTTGGGATTGAAGATCTTTTTGTCTAACTTAACAGATTTTGGCAAGAGAGTTTGATCTCGTCAGGTTCACAGATGTGACGATAGGGTGACAGAAGTTACAATAAGTTTGGGTTCCAAGTAGTCTTTGTAATAAAATAATTTCAAGAGTTTCCACCTTCCTTATTGCCCTGTCTTGGTAGGAGGTATGATTTTGCAGCATCTTCTCATCTAGACTGATAAGATTTCCCAGTGGTTAATATTCTTGCTTTATTGCATGATTATTTCTTGCTGTCCTGTGAGAAAATTGGTATTTGAGTGATATGCGGTGTTGCACTGACGATGTAGTTAATTTGGAAATTATAATTTCAAGGGAGTAATTCATTTCACTGCTGTCAGCAGACTGATGTGACTACTTTGTAATTAAGTGCAAGTACTGAATGTTTGTGGGAAAGCCTTTATGTCTTTGTGGATACGTACAGTAAAATGGAGATTACTTGGTTATAGGAATATCTCATGCAGTTTTACTCTAAATATATTAATAGTCAAATGTGTTTCTGAGAAGAATGAGCAACATTTTAGCTATTTGCTCTAGGTTGGAACTATGAAGAAATTCATCAGTGACAGAGTGGTTAAGGTAACCTAGGGAAAGTTATTTTTAATGCACTGTTGCCATCAGCATGTTCTAGTTATGAAACTACATTTAACACAGTAGAAATACTTATAACTGGAGGTGATTTGACTGTAAGTTAACCCATATAGTAGTTTAAAAGTTAGACTACTAACATTGCCCTGCAGCTTTCATGCTCAAGTGTACCTTTAAAATAATTGTGCACTTACTGGTGTGATAGCTTCATATGCTTTTCATGGTGAGCGGCAGAACAAGAGAGAAAAAGTAGTTTATAATGGAGACTAAAAGCTTGAGAGAGTATTACTGTGAGAGAAAGATGGGGAAAATAATGTATGGCTGTTAATAATTGTGTTGGAAATCCTGGGGTTTTTTAGGTAGAAGGTGAATGCCCAGGGCATTTTTTTTTTTTTCATTTCTCCAGTGGGGGGGGGGAAATCAGCATCTCATATAGTAGAAAGCTTCCTTGATATTTGAGTTATTGCCTCTTTTTGAACAAAAGTGTACAAAGCCTCTGTGTATGTAAGCAGTGCATTTCGTCTGTGCCTCTGCATTTCTGTTCAAAGACTTTTTGATGCTGATAGATCTGGAAAATTAAATGTTGGCTGGACATGTGGCCCTTCAGGTTTCTGCTTTTGCTGAGGTAACCTTGTTCTGAAACTGTATCTGTTGCGTTAATTATGCTGCAATTAACACAATTGTCTTTGTTATAGTTTCAGTCTGATGGAAACAAACAGGAAGATAAAGAGAAAATGGTGAGTTTATTTTGAAGGAAGGTGGCTTTTAAATTCTAATTGAGAACAAATGTTTAATAACTGTACAACAGTTGTTTGTAGAGTTTTATGCATTAACAGATGTATGTTACAGACTTGTCCTGATTTTTACAGTCAAGTTGGAGCTAGTCAGGTTGGGGTTTTTTGTTCCTGAGCCTTTTTTTTTTTTACCTCTTTCTGCTGCATTCCTACAACCTAAGCTTGTTCTTTTAGTCTAGTGCGTTCTACTTCTTACTTGCTCTGAACCAACCTGAGCACCCCCAGCTCTTTATTGTATAAATACGCTTTTCATGGTGGCACTTTGTACCTTTAAAGAATTTACTGGGGAAAAGCATAGGGAAAAAGAGAAACAAGAAGTAGGTGAGGTGTTTAATAGTACAGTGGATAATGTTTATTTATTAGCTAATTTTTTTCTTTCTAAATTTTTTAATTTATTTAATCGTCACGATTGGTCACAATGAAACCCAAGTGTCCAGTTGAGGTCTACTTGTAAAAAACAAATTGTGGTTTGGTTGGTTTTTTGAATCAATAAGCAAGTTCTCAGGATGAAGTCTACCTTGCTCTGTTGTAGGTTTTTTTCCCACCCCTGCTATGGTTATTCTAGATGCATTTTAAAATTATTTATTTGATTTGAAAATGAGTGCAGCGTACTGAAAACTTCAGCCTTGCTCAAATATAGGCAAATAAAACACTGACATTATAGATACATTGTATCTGGTCCATGAAGTATCTAATAAAAGATTTATGATGGGAGATATTTTAAAGTCCTGTTTAGATTTTTTTCATAGAATCATAGAA